TGAATAGATGTAGACACGTAGTACTTGATTTTTGAAAGTGAAGCATCATACAGCACACTCGAGCATTCATACACACTGTAATTAACTGTATAGCCAATATTTACTATGATGTTACCTGATCTTACGTTGGTCGCTCTCAGGACATTGGAACACAAAGAGAAAGAGAGGAGGAGGATGTCTTATTGGACCAGGTAGGGCACCGTCAAATGTCTGTTTCATCACCAGACACATGCATGCATCCATTATTGATGTAGTCCAAGTTATTAATCATGGAAAATGAATGTTCAAGAACATTGAATCCACTGGTCAGTAAAAGCAACATTTGTGAGTTATTTCATAGCATCCTCTAGTTATAGCTTCTTCCACTCATCAAATAGCTTCCGGGGTATAATTTCATGACTTTACCACATACCCATTCATACTGTCACTCATTCAGTTTCTCGTACCCTCTTCTCTTTCCTACTACCCTACCCTGTAAGGCTCATGTCACTTCCTTCTGCCTTCATTTTCACTACCTTTGCAATTCTCACATTTCACCTGTTATTGGTGGGAACAGTGATGAACAAGACAAGTGGATTCAAGGTCTGAGATCACCACCTTTCCACCTTTCTCCCCATCTCACCTTCTGTTAGTGGGAACCCTAATGATATGTCTGGCCAAGAAATAGAGTGAGAAATAAAAGGTGAGAAGAGGAGGTCGCTCTATTTCATAGACATGTCATCACTGTTCCTACTAACGGAAGGTGAGATGTGAGAAAGGTGAAGGTGACATACTGTGGAGCATGAAAAATAGTATCTCTGATGTGGACAGTCATCACATTTCTCTAGAATTGATGATACTGGAATTCCTGCCGTGAAACAATGATGCTATCAATTGGCTATTGGTAGTCAATCACAGACCACAAATATTCACAGGAGGCCCACCTGAATATGTGATCCATATAAGTAGATCTCAGACTTCAGACATCTAGTGATCTTATTGGACCAGGTAGGACATTGTCAAATGTCCATTCCATCACCAGACACGTGCATCCATCTATTATTGATGTCATCCAAGTCATCAATCATGATCTGAATGTGCAATCCAGGTTACTTGACAGTCTGAATGCCCTGACGATACCAGGTGTGTGAGCCTGTAGGCACAACTCCCTACATCACATCTATTATTCTTGGCTTGCATATACTGGCAGTCACTATAGTTTTTAACTTGTTCAATAAATAGACAAACTTATCTATGTGTCATAGCCAGTGGCTCATCTACTTACATAGGGTGCGAGGACAGAATTTTATGCTGGTTTCAGACATCTTTCTTGAAGTTTGAGTCACCCAGGTGTATAGAGAATCCAGTGACAAACATACAAGTATGATGGTCATTCTACCTCGAACACTTCAAGAAGCGAAATTTGTTGTTCATATCGGTGATAATATTAGACTCATGCAGGGTGACATCAACGGAAAACCATCCCAGAAGTGAAAATTATTATTAGTACTGTCAGCAATGGCTTGATCTTCGTAGAGGGTGACAACAACAACACAGGCCCTCAAAAGCGAAAATTTATTAGTCACATTAGGTGCTATTAACAGGGATTTGACTATCATACAGGGCGACACGAAGAATAAATGCACAAAGTCAAAATGCCGTCAGAAGCAACATTTGTTAGTACTGACAGTAGTTTGACTCTCACAAAGGGTCACACTAACCAAGATTCCCCCGGATCTGAAACAGTTGGTGCCATCAACAATGGCTCGACCCTCACAAAGGGTTACACCAACCACAAAAGCCCCCGGAATCAAAACAGTTGGTGCCATAAACAATGACTCGACCCTCACAAAGGGTTGCACCAACCATAAAGCCCCCACAAGGGGAAAGGGGTGGTGTCATAAACAACGACTAGACCCTCACAAAGGGTTGCACCAGCCATAAAGCCCCCAGAATCAAAACAGTTGGTGTCATAAAAAATGACTTGGCCCTCACAAAGGGTTGCACCAACCATAAAAGCCCCCAGAAGGGAAAAGGTGGTGTCATAAACAATGACTAGACCCTCACAAAGGGTTGCACCAGCCATAAAGCCCCCAGAATCAAATGGTTGGTGCCATAAACAATGACTAGACCCTCACAAAGGGTTGCAACCAACCATAGAATCAAAACAGTTGGTGTCATAAACAATGACTCGACCCTCACAAAGGGTTGCACCAGCCATAAAAGCCCCCAGAAGCGAAAAAGGTGGTGCCATCAACAATGGTTGACCCTCACAAAGGGTAACACCAACCACAAAAGGCCCCAGAACTACAAAGACAAAATATGTACAGTTTACAAAGGGACAGCAATTAAATACATGAGTGAGGAGGGAGAAGCAAGAAAGAGAATTTTTTGGTTCAAGTTGACCGCATTTTTGCTTATATAATCATTGTCACATCAGGCCACAATAATAAAGCCACATCTTATCATAAGAAATATTCGATGAAACAGCACATTTTTGTGCATATGATCAGCGTCAATCAAACGAAAGCTATATATTGTAATTGGAAGATGCTTGTTGAAATTTTGCAAGTTGGCTTATTAGAAGCAAATAACCAACATTGATATGCTGCCTCCCTCTCTAAGATTGATTTCCAGCCATCATATGACATGTATGACTGTATCTTGAACTTGTTCCTGAGGTTATTGAACCATCTAAATCGAGTGGGCATGCCCATTTCATGTGTAAAAATCATGTTTTCAAATTTGAACACCCCTGTCATGCTGCCTTACCCTCTAAGATCGATTTTTTTCAGCCTTCACATGACTTGCCTGGCTCAAGATAGGACTTGTTCTAGAAGTTATTGAGCCTCCTGAATCTGATAGCAGCATTTGTTTGGTGCGAAAAAATCATGTTCCAAAGTCATGAGTTATCAAGTCCTGTTGTGCTGAGGCCCTCACCCAAAGTCAATTTTGTCAGCCTTTGCATGACTTGCATAGCTTGATCTCAGGCTTATTTCTGAAGCCATAGACCAGTAGGAGCAACAATTTGATATGGCAAAGTCATGTTGTTGCAAAGTTGCCCACCTATGGTCAAGTTGACCGCTTGTGCTTATGTAAGCAATGTCACCCCTGTTATGCTGCCTCACCCAATGATTGATTTTTTGAGCTTTCATATGACTTGCTTGGCTTCAAATAGAACTTGTTTCTGGGGTTATTTGGCCGTCTGAATCTGATGGGAACACTGGTTTGGTCCGAAAAAATCATATTTCAGAGTGATGCTACCCCCTCCCCCTACCTACTACCTACTGTGCCCAGAGGCAGGATTCCATGTCGATACTGATGTATAAAAGGATGTTCCTAGTGTTTTTGTATCATATTAAGTGATTGGAGATGGTCTCAGAGTCATCCGGGCCCATGTGAATTGTGATGTGTCAGTTTGCCTGATGCCCCCCCCACAAAGATCGATTTTTCTAGGCTTCCCATGACTTGTCAGTCCTTCAGGAGCATCCTTCCTGGGGGTTATTGAACCCTCTGAACATGATGGTCAAGCCAGATTTGCCAGAAAAAATCATGTTCTTGAGATATGCAAGGTCCCCCTCCCCCTCCTATCTCATATATCTTCATATTATGTGAATACTGATATATCAAAGGATGTTCCTAGTGTTTTATGATCACAGGAATCGATTGGAGATGGTCCCAGATTATTTCTAGCCTGTTTGAATTGAAATATGTCAGTTTGCCTCATACCCCCCACAAAGATCGATTTTTACAGACTTCCCATGACTTGCCAGTGCTACAAAAGCATTTTTCCTGGGGGTTCTTGATCCACCTGAACACGATGGTCGAGCCAGATTTCCCAGAAAAAATCGCGTTCTTGAGATATACAAGGTCCTCCTCCCCCCTCCTACCTCCTATATTTTGCTGTGCTTGAATTTAACTTAAGACCGATACTGTAAAGGCCTGTCCTAGTGTTTTTTAGGTGTAGGAATCGATTGGTGATAATCCTGGACCACCTGGAGATCAATATTGGTGACATATGGTGGTGGGGCCAAAATGTCAGTATTTTGGCCATATCTCCACAACCCAACCGCCGATTTCTTTAATTGTTGGCTCATATCATTCCTAGAAGTACCCTCCATGATATGTACCAGCCCATGAAAAGAAATTTTTTCACAAGTTTGAAACCTATTTCTGAAATGACCATATAAGTTATCGTGCGGTATGGTGTCGTAGTCTATCGCGTTTCTTATCCTTGTCTTGACTGTCGTATGGTATCGTAGTCCATCGTGTTTCTTGTCCTTGTCTTGACTATCGTATCGTATCCTATGGTATCGCGTTTCTTATCCTTGTCGTGGTCTTGACTATCGTGATCCTTATCTTTGACTTCCTTATCGTAGTCTTGACTATCGCGTTTCTTATCCTTGACTTGCTTATCGTATCGTAGTCTTGACTGTCGTAATCCTTATCCTTGTCTTTTGCTTGTTTTCTTGATTTTTTGCTATCGTAGTCTTGACTATCGTATTCCTTATCCTCATCCTTATGGCCCAGGTCAAAACCTCGTTCAGACTTTGCTTGACTTTGCTTGATTTTTGCGTTTTTATCGGAGTAGTTCCCACGGTCGAGTTGCTTTCTTGAACCCTTCGATTTTGAGTATTTTGCTTGTAATTCACTAGGATCTTACCCTATTGATGTCGTTAGACTATGGATAGACTCCCCTTGACGAGGGCTACGACATTGATTTTTGCATTTTTTTCGGAGTAGTTCCCACGGTCAAGCTGCTTTCTTGAACCCTTCGATTTCGAGTATTTTGCTTATAGTTCACTAGGATATTATCCTATTGATGTCGTTAGACTATGGATAGACTCCCCTTGACGAGGGCTACAACATTGATTTTCAGGCACAGCAGGGACAGGGCACAGCCGCAGCAGGGACTCACGCAGCCGCAGCAGGGACTCGCGCAGCCGCAGCAGGGACAGGGACAGAGGCGACTGCAGGGGTGCAGTCTCAGGAAACATATAGATAGAAGTACCCTCCATGATATGTACCAGCCCATGAAAAGAAATTTTTTCACAAGTTTGAAACCTATTTCTGAAATGACCATATAAGTAGCTGGCATTGACCTTGAGATCGCACAGAGCTCGAGTTGGAAAGACTACTGGCAGTATTATTCACGCTGGCCGTGGACATTCGACGGCTGATAGTAAAGACGTTTGCTGTTGAAATGCGAGATTCAGCGGTAGTGAGGATGTCGACGATTGGGTGCACTCATGATTTGAAGTGCTCTCACTCGCTAAACTGACGAATAGCGCGAATATAGTTGTGTAAGGGTCAGTTTTGACTGCAACACCACTATGTACCGAGCACATACCATCTGAAACACTTGGGCGCTGCCTTGGCTTGAGCAGCTGTCCATATTGCAGAGGTTGACCAGGATCTTGTCAACGAGTACAACATTGCAAAATTCGATTTTCCATATCTCATGGATCGAGCACAGCATCTCAAGGCAAATAAGTTCCCTTTTCTTGGTCGCATGAATGGTGCGCATTTCTGTTTGCTGTGATAAGATCATACTGATGTTGTGTTAAAGGTTCCAAAACTGAGACGAAGGAGACGCATTTCTCTTCGAAGGCATACGAGCAGCGTGATTCCAAAGATACAGAGCTAGAAGATCGGCTACAACTCGACGTCCTGCAATTTATGCAACGTGAACACAAGTTACGTAGTTATACCTTCAACACTGTCTGTGCACAGTTCCTTGGTGAGCCACAGGAGAATATGAACCACTCCGTTATCACAGAATTGCAACATGGTACCCCAGAGTCCAGACGTCGGCTGGCCGTCTGCTGTTTAAAGGTGATCGAGTCCTTTTTGCGTCGTCTTTGTCGTTCTTATAGTTGCTACAGGATGTATATCTCCCTCAGTGACTGCGGGACAAACTTATGTGCTTCATCAACTACACTGAAATGACACATGTCACGGGCATTCCCTTCAACTACCTCCTTTCCAATGGCCAGTCCATTAAGGTGCTTTCCCAGCTATTTCACGAGGCTAATCAAGAGAGATATATCATCCCTGCTTTGAAGGGCGAGGGTTCTGATGAGCAATACGAAGGTGCCACTGTCATCGAGCCGAGGAAAGGCTACCACGACACACCAATTGCAACTCTTGATATGAGCTATTTGTATCCGTCCATCACGATGGTACATAATTTGTGTTATACGACGCTCATCGAAATGAATACCATTGATCGCATGCAGCTTGTCAAGGACGTTGAATATATCCAAACCCCCAATAACGGTATGTTAGAGCTGTTGGATATGTAGTTTGCAGATCAGTCGGCTAATGCTTCTGGTTAGAATTTTTCGCTACTACGGCAAAACGAAATGGTCTACGACCTACTTTCTTGGAAGATTTGATCTCTGCTGGTACGCGTGCGAAGGCAGATCTCAAGAAGGTGACCGATCCATCCAAGCGTGCAGTCTTGGACGGTCGTCAGCTTGCTCTGAAGGTGCTTTGCATTCAGCTGGTACGGCGACCCTATCTGACCTCATTCAATTGCAGACCAGTGCCAACTCTCCTTATGAGTTCACTGGTGCGACGATTGGAACATTACCCTGCCTTCCTATCTCCTGCAGTGTGGCAGCATATTGGCGTCAGATGATCGCGAAAACTAAGTAGGTAAGTCGTAGTCTGTCCGCCAGTGAACACCCGACCAATAACCATTTGTAGGACGTTGAAGCATAATTCTCCATTTATAATGGACACGCTGATAATGCTGAAGTAATTTATGGTGATACTGACTCTGTCATGGTCAGGTTTGGGCCTGCAGAACTGGAAAGGATCATGACTCTCTGCTCGTACCAACCAGCAATCTACAGGAGCGGAGGCGGCAGATTTTGCGACGGCGAAATCTGTCAGACCTATTGAGCTCGAATTCGAGAAATTTTATTACCCGTATCTTCTCATCAGCAAGAAGCGGTACGCTGGACGTTGCTGGACAAGCCAGACGAATGGGGCAAGATGAACTCAAAGAGGATCGAAGTTTGTCTTCATCTTCAATAGTTTACCGTGGATATACTGAATTAAGGAATCTAGACGGTCCGGAGAGACAACTGTCAGCAAGTATCTACGGTAATCGAGACGTCAGAGGAGCTGAGGAGTAAGTACACACTTTTGCTCGTTTGGTTGCTGAACCAGCCATCCCAGGTACACAAAGCGCATCATATCAGATGGTCTGCAAAATAAGGTCGATATGTCCCAACTGGTGATTGCAAAGGCTCCGGCCATAGCTGGTATGTGAATTTTGAACGAGAATGGGCTGGCATTCTAATGTCCGCAGATTATGCTGCGAAGCAAGCGCATGTGGAGTTGGCAGAGCGCATGCGGCAACGTGACGCAGGTTTGTGACTGATGTGGTTACCTGGTTATGTCCTGATATCCATGGTCAGGTTCCGCACCGGCCTTGCGTGGCCGTGTCACCTACGTTATTGTCAAGGGCATTGAAGGTCACATTCCGCGTCAAGTATCATGGCTCTATGCTGACTTGTGGAAGAATAGGTGCTGCTGCATACGAAAAATCCGAGGATGCCCTTTATGTTTTGGAGAATAGCATTCCCATCGATACTAAATATTATCTCGAAACGCAGTTCTCAGATCCTCTTGTGAGAATTTTTGAACCAATCCTGGGTTAGAAGGCAGCATCGTTGTGTATGTTGCTTCATTCGCTGTGAATGTCGTCTGTTGATATGTTCCCCAGTATCTGGCGCGCACACCAGGTCAATCCAGATCGCAACTCCAACAGTTGGCGGTCTGATGAAGTTCACAGCGAAGACGGTAACATGCCTTGGGTGCAAACCTCCGTTACTGTCGAATAGCAATGTAAAACGTAAGCCCAAACAAGCAAACGTCTGGCCCTATCTCACTGCCGCCACTGCTGCAGATGGTGCCGTGTGCAATAACTGTCAACCAACGATCGGGGAGCGATATCAAAGCAAATCATAAGCGCGTCGCAGCTGCAAGTGCGGTTCTCGCGACAGTGGACGCAATGCCAACATTTTCAGCGCTCTTTGTATCAAGTGTGGTTATATCTGTGTTGCTTCGACTGTCATTGACACTGTGGTCGATAGGATGTGCAATATTCGAGCAAGGACTGCCCGATATTCTACATGCGGAAGAAGGCACAAAAGGATGTGGAAGATGCGAATTCTGTCCTCGAGCGGTTTGATGCAGATCTGTGGTAATTTATATCGATGTATCGTTATTTTCATTTCGCTTGGTTTTTCTCCACTGTTATATCACTGATCATCCTGGCAATATATATTCCTGAAGTGTGGTCTAGCCTAGTATCTAAAGTGATTGCAGGTACTGCGTCAAACGTCTGAGCCTCGACAGCTGGGAGCTCAATGAAACTGACACGGACGGTCAACGGGGTAAGGGTCTTCATTGAAACAGCTGTGCGCGAGCACCAGCATCTTCCTTCCTCGCCACCCCCACTTTTCCTCTCGGCTACCTGTTGGTAAACACCTGATGCATAGTGCCTGCGAGATAGGGACGCGGACAGGTGTGCACCAGCTTTGGCAGTGCGCATTGAATTTACACAGACCTCTGGTTAGACGACCGTAATGCTCGATCGTTCCTCAAGTGAGTTACTCTCACACCGTCGACTGACGAATAGCTGGAAGATAGTTGTGCAAGGGTAAGTCTTGACTGCAACACCACTGTGTACCGAGCACATACCATCTGCAATACTTGGGCGCTGCCTTGGTTTGAGAAGTTGTTTTTCCCATGTAAGACGTCCGGCACCCGTCCTACAGGGATGATTGTTGGTTCCCCTTGGTCACACACGGCCTCGTTTAAGAACCTCAAAGATGGGAGTGCGTGAGAGCGAGAAAAGGCGATACTGGGCATTGGCACAAACCTCGCGAATGGGTCCCTGTCACTGAATACGACAGCCGGCAGGTGAAGAAGAAGAGCACGAAGACCACAAAACCGTCTGTCTGGGCAGCTCCGGTAAGTTATGTTTTAAACATCCACCAGGACTTAACAAGCATACCCGTACGGTGTGACCACCGAGCTTGTCGATGATCTCCTGCAAGCGAGCGACCATCTACCACAGCTCTATTGTGGATTGGTTTGAAGTTTTATCTGGACATTGGAAACGCAGCGCAGGCAAGTCATTTCCATCTCATCATCACATCAATCAGAGGTGATGACGGACAGAGAAACGAACTCGATACATATCTTGTACGTCGTTGTTTGACCGTCTTCATCCTCTGATATATGAGTCCTAAAGGATTTGCTAGCTTCCAACGAGGAAATGTCGTCGTCTGCACGACGGTTGGTTGTAAAATACGATATAATGGATTGAGACTGTCCAAGGGGAAGTACGGTTCAGCAATGTAGTGAGTAAGGATTCGAATATTAAAATGCAACTCAAGATCATGTGTCAATGTGTAACCGCGATGTAGAACAAACGAACGAATCTGATCATGTCGTGATGAATCATGTGGCCTATCTGTACTGTAAAATGAAGCTAAACTTGAGATAATCGTGTCGATGAAGGAGATGTTACACATTGGGGTGATCAATGACCTGAATGATACGATCTTTCAGTTCTTCGATGCATATTTGTCTCTCTACGGCGTCTCCATGTGCGTACTCCAAGATCGCTTTGATGTTCTCCTTCTGCTTCACCGTCTCCACCTCCAGCCGATCTACGTCTTCGCTCGTGACGTCAAGTAGTGCTTTCTGGTACATCACCTCTTCTTCCAAGGTATCAATGCGGTCACGGTACCTTTCTACCTCTTCTTCGTGCCGAATACGCGTTCGTTCACGTTCCTCCTGCAGGTATTCGACTTGATGATCCACGCGTTCCAGCATCTCCAAGAGTTCACGCGCGTACTGAGCCGTACATGAATTCGGGCTTGGGGATCTTAGCTGAGCAACGTCTTGGTCCTGTGTATCCCGAACGTCATATTGAATTGTCAGCAAAGGAATGCAATCGGGACATACATTGTAACTCGGTATCTTCATGTTCAGATGAGATTGAATGCGTTTGATTTTCTCCGTCGGTGAAACGTCTTCTTGAGTACTACGCTTATTTGTATAATCAGACATAGCGAATGATGTTAAAGAAATATGCAAGTAGATCTTGAATAAAGAACGATGGTATGGCAGGTAGACGAATGAACGATCACAGTTCAAAGTACAGTATTTGTCAGCAACCTCGTCAGACGATTAGCCGACCGTGTAAGTCTTCATAACCCATGGTTATCTGGTAATTATGCGCAGAGTTTCACGGAGTTCGATGGGTGGTCTTGGCTGCTGGAAGATGAGAGGGTGCATCGACATATGAGAGCGTTTTAGAGAGATGTGATGGTGCTCTCAGAGGGACGCGTTTGGTTGTACCATGAGTGCTGCAGGTGTGAGGAGACGTGGTGGATGACGTTGTCACAACAAGAATGGTGATATGTGACAAGTGGAAACTGTCCTTGTGAGCGTTGTGCACCACGAAAGATATGAGAAATGGCCGAAGACTCTAAAGATGTATACAACAGTTATCCAAGACCCATGAGTTGACCGTTGCTCACAATTGTCGTTCATGAAACTATTGGTGCATGGTGCGTGCACTTGACGACGCGACGCGGCTTAGTGAAATCTGGAGCTCAGGAATACAAACCACGGACACTTGTATAGTTGATTTTAGTCGATTTTTCTTCGTTGTCTATGACTGATGGGTAGTACGTCTCGTTCGTTTTGTCACTGATACTACTACAGTTGCGTACGCAGCCGATTATCAACGTTGACATGGCGGGTACGAGTCAGCTACAATGAGTAGCCTAGCTTACGGACGACATCGTCCATCATTTGCCATTTGCAATTCGAATCCTTCATCCATGACGGCCTTGACTCTGCCAGGTAGATCCACCGCTTTGAATCGCCAATCCCAGGTCGAATATGAAGTCATCGATCTGAATGGCGACATTACACCAACGCGTACCAGGATATTCCAAACGTACGCGAAAATAAGAGAGCAGCAAGAAAGACCTCAAGTGCGTCAACAACATCGATATGCCTGCATGCTTGTAAAGGCACTGAACACGGGAAAGTCCTATCGCACCACGGCAGAGCGACGGCAAGGAGATGCAGGTGCGGAAGCGTGGAACAGTCGTGTAAAGAGAACTGATGTATCGTGCGACTGTCGACGACAGCCTTGCACCTATGAAGGCGCTGAACACAAAAATCACATATCACAACCATGCCAGAGCGACGGCTCAGAACCCCCGTAAGGAGCGACGGCAAGGAGATGAAGGTTTGGAAGCGTGGAAGAGTCATGTAAAGAGAACTGACGCATCGTGCGACTGTCGACGACAGCCTTGCACCTATGAAGGCGCTGAACACGGAAGTCACACATCACACACCAGCCAGAGCGACGGCTCAGAACCCCCGTAAGGAGCGACGGCAAGGAGATGAAGGTTCGGAAGCGTGTAAGAGTCGTGTAAAGAGAACTGACGCATCGTGCGACTGTCGACGACAGCCTTGCACCTATGAAGGCGCTGAACACGGAAGTCACACATCACACACCATGCCAGAGCGACGGCTCAGAACCCCCGTAAGGAGCGACGGCAAGGAGATGAAGGTTTGGAAGCGTGGAAGAGTCATGTAAAGAGAACTGACGCATCGTGCGACTGTCGACGACAGCCTTGCACCTATGAAGGCGCTGAACACAAAAGTCGCGTCTCAGACAATGCCGGAGCAACAGCTCTAAACCCCGAAAGGAGCTACGACACCGCAAGAGATTGAAACAAGTCATAACAATGTGATAAGTATAAGGTAGAGAAGATGAAGAGCGGAAGTTGAAATTGAACAACCTTTTTAAAATCAACCAATCACGTGATATTCCCACGCCACACACACCACGGGCGAGACAGCATGTTCTTGTTTAACTTTAAGTCGTTAATTGAATGGGTCAAATCGACTGTAGCAATTTCTTATGTAATACATAGGTGAGGCTGGCTTGGTCACGCAGTACTTGCACTGTCATTCGACCTGCAATGCAAAATGTTTCCTTTGTTGTTAGCTCCATCATCCATCCACATCGGCATGGGCTCGGACGGACCTGATTAACTTTTCAATGCGCATCGTTCTGTGTATGGTGAACGACCGCAACAATCTCACTGAGCCCTGTCTTGTGTGCATCATCCATCACAATGGATATTCCGTCGCAGTGTCTGCATCTTAGGACGTTGTGAGACTTGCGCGGTGACCTTGGTGTGCGACTTTCGCTGATCCATGGAATTTTGCTACTGGTTGATCTTTTAGCTTCAGCAACCGTACAAGCGTTTATCATCCAAGCGTTTCACTGCCATCGGACAACATGAATGGGGGAAAACACCGGCAAACATTATCTTTTCACCATATCCTCACTGACAGTCCACAACTCCCCATATTCTCACTTCCGTCTTGAATTATCGATTCAGTCCATTCACTCAGCCCATCCCAAATAACTTGTCATTGTAGTTCATCACACCATCATGCCAGGTAATGTTGAGGCCGACATATCAAACTCGAAAGTGAGTCGCTACATACTACCTTCGTATGTTTTTGCATCCTCACTGTCTATCTACAGGGATGGACAGGGTTAGTTAGCCTCCTGGCGCATTTCCCGCTGGCATATGCATCTATAATATGTCTCACAGCGAGCGAGGAGCGTTCCTGGAAGCTTTGTACCCTTGTAACGCAAACAGACACTACAATTGCTGGCGACGCAGCATCAAACCTGCTGACGTGGAAGCCGGCTCACAAGCCAAGCATTACCAATTCTCGTCTTGCCATTGAAAGGTGGAACATCACGCGGTTTGCTATTCTGTTCCTCACACCGAGTTCGCGTTCATATTCGTGGTTTATACCACCAACAGCGATGAGGAGATGCCAGGATATTCCTGAATTCTGCCACCATAGTAAACATGGAACGACACTGATATACTTCATATTATGTCTTGGGCCAACTCAGTGACTCATCATGCGCTCGGTGGGTCCTGGGGTGAAATCTCAAAACGAACCCATCGCCAAGGGCTTTTCCATCTGATTGAGCCGTACACGTTTGACAGTGAACAATAGGGAGAATCATGATTACCCTCACGTCGTGTGTGGGATGAGACTCCACTTATCAGAAGTATGGAAGACGAAATCAAACTAGTGCTCGCAATTGTGCCAGTGATGGCGTGACAAGAGGTCGAAG